AGCGCAACTCTGGTCTGTTTATGAGATGACCAAGGGGCAAAAGGACGATCGTGTAAAATTCCGAGGTTTCAGCTTTATGGTTTAGTTTATGACCGAAGACGTCATGTGCATTTTATGCCTCTAAAGAAGCGCAGCCATCACAACTTTTACTGTAGTGTAAATATTACCCGGCTCGCGTAGAAGTAAAACAATAAACGAACAGTGATAGTTTTCACAGGGTTATGGTGAAAACACGGATACAAGAGTGTATGTTTTTTTCCCCAGCTGAAATTAAAACCACTGACTGAGCCAGTGACTATATGGAGCTTTTTTTAATGGTTTTCAGCTCTGAAGCTGGTGGAGACGGTTTGAACTTCGCAAACACGTTTAGAAAGCGAGAACAGCTGAATGTCAGGGGTTTGGAGTCCGGAATAAAGGAGACTTGCTGGCAGCCCCTAATCCTCACTGCTGGAGAAAACAACAGCCGGGAAGGCTTGGGATATTGACACTGTCTCTTTGGGAAGAGGCCAACTGCACTGACTTAGCGTTTTCTTCGGCCCAAACCGCCCTTATCACACACAGGAGGTCATCCAGGGGTGACTGTAGCACTGAAGGGTTATTGAAAAAAACGTCTGGACCTCCGCCATGATTGCTCTTGAGGGATTGCGATATGGCGAGCTGATCAGACACACGGTGTTGTGCCACTGACAATCAGACGCACCACATAAGGCAGGGGCTCCCACCACAAGATCTGGGGGACCCTAATATGTCTAGATTTTGTTCAGGCTGAATGCTCAGAATGTAAGAAATGTTGCAGGCCAGAGGGGAATGCTCTGTTTCTGTGTTTGACTCGCCTCCAGTTTTGCAGATCTATGTAATTACGTCACAATCTAGATCATTGATATAGATCAGAAAGCATAAGGGATTCTAAAATGGTTCCCTGAGGTACACCACTACTTACAGTCGCCCGATTAGAGGTTGGGCCCCTTATGATGATGTTAATTTTCCTACTTGTTTAGGAACAAGGGCTGGAGACCTTTCTTTTTTAAAATAAAACCTCTGATCCCAGCACAAACTCTCACCCCACGTCATTGGGATACATGCCATTATCTGCTTTTGGGTCCAGCTGAGATTTTGATCTCTTCATTGAACCCGAACAGCCATCTAACACAGCCAGTGGGCAGTTGGGTATGAGCTCCTTCCCCCTAAGGGTTTTTCACAACGCCCCCGGAACATCCATCACGGGGCAGACTGCCAGACACACACACTCACACCAGGGCCACTTTTCCCAGAAGCCAATTAACCCACCAGCATGTCTTTGGACTGTGGGAGGAAGCCAGAGCACCTGGAGGAAACCCTAGTGAACACAGGGAGAACATGCAGACTCCACACAGACAGCACTGTGCCAGCCAGCGGCTGGAACATAC